AGACGCACGGGCTGCAGAGGGCGACGTGCAGGTGGGCACGAGGCGAGCGCGCGGGCGAGGAGAGCGGCGCGCTGGTTGGCAGGGCGGTGCGCAGGCCCAGGGACGTCAAGCGGCAGGGCAGGGCAGGCGCAGGGCAAGGCAGGGTTGGTGCGCAGGCTAGCCGAGCGGCGCGCGGGCGGGCTGGGCGGCGCGCAGGCTCCGGGGCGGCGCTCGGCAGGGCAGGGCGGGCGTAGGGCAAGGCAGGGCCGGGCGCGCGGGCTAGCAGAGCGCTGCGCGGGCGGACAGGGTGGCGCGCAGGCCTTGGGGCGGCGCGACGGGCAGGCAGGGGTGGCGCGCGGGCTTTGGGACGGCGCACGGCAAGGGCAGGGGCCGCGCGCAGGCTCTGGGGCGGCGCGACGGGCAGGCAGGAGCGACGCGCGGGCTCTGGGGCGGCGCGCGGCAAGGGCAGGGGCCGTGCGCGGGCTCTAGGGCGGCGCACGGCAAGGGGAGGGGCCGCGCACGGGCTCTGGGGCGGTGCGACGGGTAGGCAGGGGCGGTGCGCGGGCTCTGGGCAGCGCACGGCAGGGGCAGGGGCCGCGCGCTGGCTCTGGGGCGGCGCGACGGGCAGGCAGGGGCGGCGCGCGGGCTCTGGGGCGGCGCGCAACAAGGGCAGGAGGGGGCGCGCGCGGGCTCTGGGGCAGCGCACGGCAAGGCAAGTCAGGGCGTGCGCGGGGCGGCACGACGTAGGGCAGGGCAGGGCGTGCGTGTGGGGGCGCGACGCAGGGTAGGGCAGGGCGTGCGCGGGGCTGCGCAATGCAAGGCAGGGCAGGGCAGGGCGCGCGCGGGCGGCGCGACGCAGAACAAGGCGTGGGGTAGCACGATAACCGCAGACGGTCACTAGCGAAGGGTGGGCCCGAAAAAAAATGGTCCTACGGACCTACTGCTCTAATACCATGTCAGAATCTAGAAGCACGAATGTGTGTATTGAATGAAAGGTGGGTACAAGTACTAACCCTAACTTTGGGTTGTACCCCATATGGGCTACCCCACTATAGCCTACACAGAACTAACACACATATATAGTTTGACACTTGCGCCACATTGGATGAAGCCGCTCTCGGGTGCGTATTGAGTTGGTAGAGTTCTCCGTTGAGAACGCCTTGTGCGGATTTTTCCCCCTTCCAAAACAGGTTCATCTTCGCATCGTCCATAGTGAGGCCACCCCCTTCTTCGCAAGTTGCGAAACGGAGAGGAGATTTACCTTCAACCCCGGGACATGAAGCACGTTCGTGATGTCCACCGGTCCGCCATCGACGATGAGACGCGTACTCCCAACTCCAACCACCGGTAGCGACTTGTCGTTTCCGAACACGATGCTCGAGACGTCTCCCGGAGCACCAGTGCTATTGAGGAGCGACGCCGAGTGTGTCATGTGTTGTGTTGCGCCGGTGTCGAGGAACCACACGTTGTTTGGAGTGTTGATCCCGTCACCGGCCAATAACACGATCGACTCCCTTGTATCATCCGCCTCGCCGGATGCCGTGTGCGCATTGCCCTCTTGGTCGCGCCATCGATGGAGTCCAATCGATCGACTGCTTCCGACACTCTCGCCAAAAGCATCCCGGTTTGCCGCAATAGTGACACTTGCCGCGATGCTCGCTCCCCACGGGACGATCGTCGAACCCTTGCTCCACTTGGACTTCTTTTCGGAACTCCCTCTGGAGTACATGGCGGTCCCCACGCTCTCATTAGCGAATTGTCGGCGACGCGATTCCTCATGGAGAAGCCGACCGACCACCGTTTCCTTCGTCCACGTGTCTTGTACGCTGTCGTGTGTCGTAATAAACGTCGTCCACTCTTCCGGAAGGCCGCTTATCAAGGTCGAAATCCAATCTTCCTTCATGACTGTTCCACCGAGGTCCATGAACGTTTCCCCGAGTTCCTCCACACGAGTCGCATACTCGTGCATCGATTTGCCCTCGCGCCACTTCACTGTGAAGAACGCATTCCGGGCTAGGACTTTGCCATGGAGAGTCTTGTTCACGGGGCGCCTTCGCAAAAAAAAAAAAAGGACGAAAGGGCTGCCACTTCCACACTTCATGCGCCGACGCTTATAGCTTGATGCACGTGCGCACCGAGCTCACGAGGTTGATGCCGATCCGCGAGATCAACGTAGCAAACGCCTTTTGGTCGTTCTTCTTCCATGCCACGATGTCGTCCTCGTTCGTCGTCAGATTTTTCTCCGTTCCATCAAAGAAACCCCAAAGTCCGCGCTCCATCATGGGCACTTGGAACTTAAACTTCCACGCGGAGTAGTTTTGTCCCGTGAAAATCGGGGCGAACCGCCGACGTGTCCAACACCGTCGCGGTAGTCCAGGGTTCGCCAGGATTCGTGACGACACCATCCAAGGAGGTGCGGGAGGCCTCGCTTGAAGTCGGCATGCTTGCTACTAATTGCGCACGTAGACTCTACCGACCAGCTCTGATACCACTATTGAAGAGGTCTCTCCTCTGGTTGGCAGGAATTGGGAATTATATCAAACACCAGAGCTCTCTCTTAGCTTTCCAACGAGCCATCAATTGCTTCGTTCGCCTGAGAATCGAGCACGCTATAGCTAGAAAGATTAGGGGCTCTTTGGAATTTGTAGTTCGAATGTATCACATACAAAGAACTCTGGTTTTCACTATGAGGCATGCATCCAAAGCGATCAGACTTATAGTAAGCAAAAAACATCGAACCGCGCATGTAACACGAACCGCTACACTCGCGTCGCGAGTGCGCCGCGAGTAACATTTCGGTGGGGGTGAAAGTCGGTAAGCGAATTTCATCGAACCGATTGTTCCTTGAGCCCGAGTTGGAATGTGGTGCCGCCACGTCGCACCGAACTCTAGGTTCTTCAGAAGTCAACCTAGAGCCTTCACAAAACCTGCAGCTCACTCGAACGTGAGCACAAGTCACACATTCGGTGGATTGGGGGCATACATACACACGCCCCTCCGCCGCTTGCTTCCAACACACGCGACCTCCAACACGCATGGTGCTGGCAAGGTCGAAATACGTGCTGAAGGCAGGAGCCAGCCATGGCATCTGGAGGATCGAGTTTGTGGAAGGAGAAACCCAAGTCTGCCGAGCAGTTGGTTGCTTTCGAGGGATCGTGGAGGGCGTTGAGGAGAAGTTCCGCACGTTCCTACCGCAGGAGGTGATGCCTGCGGATGTTGGGGGTGACAATTTTCTTGGCCTCGTTAACGCTCCCAGAACGAAGCTACAGTGCTCGCTAATCTGGGCGGGGGGAGGCCCGGCGCAACACAAGCAGCTCAAGGAGGGTTTCGTGAAGCATGGCGGCAAACCGAAGCAGCAGACCGCCTGGGAAGACCTGCGGGCAAAAGCAGATTGGCTGGCGGAGGGTGATGGAGGTGCGTGACTCGGATGTCCTCCCGAACCGTGCGCGAGATATGATGCTCCGGATCCACAGCCGGAATCTTCAGGTGGGGGAGCGACTACACTTCCTGGGTGCCGGCATTGTCTGCTCGCATTGCGGAGAGAAGGAGACAAGCATGGGCTTTTTCACTGCCCGCGCATCCAATCGGTGGTCTGAGCACTCCTGAAGGCACTCCGCATGCTCAACCCGCGGCGGAAAATAGAGTCAATAAAAGATCTGCTTTTCCAAAGCGAAGGGGACAACATCAGGCTTCCCCAAGGCTACGTCACGGCTATCGCTCTTCATCGCATCTTGGTGGAGAGGCGTAATGCAGTGTTTGAGAGGAGCACGTTTCGGGCGAGAAGGGTCCTGCAGTGACAGCTTTTTAGCTGCATGTGCGAATCTATAAGCGCGCCAATACGGTATCATGGAGGCTCGGGGCTGCTCATCCTGAGTTGGATGACGATGAGCGCCGTGCTCTGGACAGAATCCTTGACAGCTCGACGAAGCCGACCACGTGGACGAAGGGTTTCATGTTCGGTCGAACCCGAGGGCGGCCTTCCATTCCCCTTAGCTGTCCAAAATGGGTACGGAGGGCATACACCCCCTAGGCCCATCAGCTACAGTTATGACTACCGATGTATTGTACACTGTGTATCTTTCATTAAAAAAAAGGTTATCTTTCATTAAAAAAAGGTTTGGCGCTGTGCTGACGTGCTGCGTGTTTTTTTACGTCAGAGTGTTCGCCCTCTTGATGAACTCTTGGGACACGCCCTAATGTTCACCAACAAGCAAACCTTCACGCGGTTCCTCCGCCGCAGCAAACCTTCACGCGGTTCCTCCGCCGCTCTATTCCGTGACGCGCGGTTCTTGCGCCGTAACGAACCCCTCCTCCATCCAAACCCGTGGTGAGATCTGATTCAGGAAGCGGCGGGTGGGTTACACCTAGGGACCACTCCCTCGCCAAATGTACCTGAAGGTTTGACCCGGTGAAGGCTGGCTCACCACCACTACTGTACAGTATCAGCACGGCCCACCACCACCACTCGCACCACCCATTTCACCCCTGCAGTGACTGCCCTTGATACGCACCACCCATTTCACCCCTGCAGTGACTGCCCTTGATACGCACCACCCATTTCACCCCTGCAGTGACTGCCCTTGATATAGTCAACCACTTTCTTTTCTCCCTTGTTTTCTTTCCTTCACACTAGCGTCAGACCCGAGACTCTTTTTGTTTCGGGTTTGTCTGATGCTGGTTGATTAGCTTTCACCGCTTTAGACCGTTGCACGCCAGGATAAACCACTCAGAACGAACCCGGAACAGAATAGGGGCATGCACCTCCATATTTGCAACAGGCGACAAGTTTCCCGCTTCGTTAATTTCCGTGAAAGCATCGGTCAACTCGTTAGAACAAACCTAAAACCCGCCCTCACTCAAATCTGTGCAGGAACTGAAACAATTCTCCTTTCGCACAAGGGCGAATTCGCGGGAAATCCGAGTTTGCCTCCAGCGAGACGATACATTTCGCACTGGCCTTTAGTTGTGGGTTTGGAGAGCAAGCTCATTGCGCAAGACTTGGCCAACAACTAGCTTCCACCATGGAATTCGCGACGCACCCCGCCACCCCTCCCTTCACTCCTTGCCTCCCACCACCCTCGTCGTCCGCTGTTTACTCCGAGCCTTCGCAGCCACTAAATTCTCCCGAGACGACATCCTCGCGACACTCGAGCGACCGCAGCGACGCGTCGTCACCGTCGTCCGTCGCCTTCACCGACTCGTCCACCAGCGCGTCGTCAAGCCCGCTCGCCCCATCATGCAGCAGCAGTGCGACGCCGGACAGCCGCGCGAGCCGGGATTCGAGCGACGCGTTACCACCAAATGTAGCCGTGAAAGACGGGAAATGCTCTGTCCACGACGCCTACCCACCTACCCAATCTCCAGGAAACACCTCCGCGCGAGTTTCCTTTCGCGAAAAGCTGTTCGTGATTTTGCGATTGGCTCGCGAGTACATTCGCCACCCGCCGCGTCTACCCATTCTCGTGAATGCGGTGGTCATCGTGACCATGACGTGCGGCGTCTTCGCGCTGCTCACCGGCATCTACCGCGTCGCTTTCACATCGGATGACAAACGCGCAGACCTGCTCGAATTCTCGACGCAGGTTCTGCAGGCGGCCGGCACCGTCGCCGCGCTGCTCCTGCACCCCACGCGCCTCGTCTACCTCCTCCGTCTCGTCCGCTGGCGACCGGCCGATGTGATCAGCCTGCGGAAAGTCTTCTCGCGAGGCGACGCGGCGGTGGCGAAGCCTCACGAACGTCGCCACATGGCGGTGGTGATCGGGTTACTCAACATCGCGTGTGTCAGCCAGTACGGGATCTTCCTCTGCCTGTGCCTGCGCGCGCCCGCGGACCGCCGAATCTTCCCCGTGGTCGTATTCATTTTCGGCGCGTTTGGCCTGGGCACTGTCGCTGGCGTTTACTTCCTGCTCTGCCCGCTCGGCCGCCCTCTTCCTGCTGAGAGAGCTGATGGCGCTCTGCCTGCGGCGCCTGAGGCGCATAAGAGTAGTGCGGGGTCGGCGGACGCGGATAGAAGTACAGCGCGCGGAAGTCCGGCGGAGAAAGCCCGCGCGTGCGGTTTGTGGGAGATCAGCTCGCGGGGCAGGGGCGACGGCGTGGAGGAAAGGGGGTCGGAGGGAAGCGAGCGGCGGGCGAGGGCTAGAGTGGTGAGAGCGCTGTTTCTGGACGAGGAAAGTGGCGATAGTCGTGAAGACGACGGAAACAGTGATGACGCGGACAGCAGCAGCAGCGGCGGCAGCAGCAGCAGATGACGTCAGCGACGGCAGCAGCAGCAGTGGCAGCGGAGGCAGCTCCACCACTGACCGCTATCGCCACATCCAACGCACTGAAAGTCACATCGAAGCTTGTCCGCCGCTGGCCCTTCCCTCTGCTGCCATGCCTTCCCACTGTTCCCACTCTTCCCCCTCTTGCCCATCTTTCCAGTCCTGCAGCGCACTTTCATGCCACCTCGGCTCGTCCCCTGACCATCATCCCTCGCTCCGCCTCGGCTCCGCCCGCCTGCAGAGCTCGCGCAGCCAGCGCAGCAGCAGCTGCCACGTGGACAAGCGCGCCGTGTGGCAGCCGCGCGCGCCGTGCGCAGGCGCTGCTCAGGGCTCAGCCGCAGCGCAGGGAGCCGCCGCTACTAGCGACGCGCCCGAGTGGGCGGGGTCGCTGTGGGGGGCAGCAGACGACTGCGGAATCGCTGCGCGCGTGGCGCTCTGCTGCCCGTGCGCCTTCGCTTGGCACCTGCAGCGCGCGGGCTTCGGCCATCCGCTCTTCCATGCGCTCAACCTGCTTCTCTTCCTGCTCGGCCCGCCGCTCGTCTTCACTGCATCCGCGCGCTTCATGACGAACCCCACGCTGCACGCGCTCACTGTGGCGTTTGGCGTGGCGGGGGCGCTCATGGGGCTGCTGTACGGCGGGTACTGGCGGTGGAAGCTGCGGCGGACCTTCGACCTGCCTGCGCAGACATGGGTGTGCAGACACAAGGCGTTTTCGGATTTCGGCGCGTGGGTAGCGTGCCCCTGCTGTGCACTGTGCCAGGAAATGCGCACCGTGAAGGCCTACGGGCTCAGGGTGGTGGCTCCTGATGCTGCCCAGCTGGAGGTGATTGTAACGGGGGGGAAGGGAAGAGTGAGGAGCGGCAGCAAGAGCCGGGCTGAGCAGGACAGTGTAACAATCTCGGTTACCACGGCGCCGTCCATTCTCAAAATGGAGATTGACGGCAACAATGATGCCGCCTGTTAGCCATCGCCCCTACTGCGATGTGCCTCATTGTCCCTTGCTTTGGGGAATAAGGTAAAATGGATAGTGCATTGGAGAGAGGGGGGTGAGTTGGTGAGAGGAGGGAGGGGAGGGGGAAGAGACGTATGGGTGTGGGTTGGGGCCAGTGGGATGAGCATGCAATGTATACCAAGGACTAGCACCCTCGCTTGGCACCCATTGCATGCTCATCATGCTCACGTGCTGCCCATGGATTGCTGTGCCATGCTTTTTCTTGTGCCATACTATTTTTTGTGGTTTATTTTCTTCTCAACTTTGGATTGCTTGCTCGCTTGCTGTAACCGATACAGAAAGCTGTGACTTTCGCAAAGTGTTTGCTTGACAGGAAGGCAATCAACCACCTCAGCAACTACCAGCAGCAGGGGTGGGGTGGGGTGGGAGCGGGAAAGTCGGGTGGATGGTCATGGGGAAGAGGCACGTGATGGGGTCGGCAGAGAGGGAGGAGAGGGACAGTGGGGCCAAGGGGTGAGAGCCGGGGGGTGGGGGAAGGTGGAGGGCTGTTGGTGAGATGTGAAACCCGTGGCCAATACAATACCGTATCACCTGTTCCCCCTTGCCGCCCACCCTCCCTTTTAGACCACCTCAAGACTGCATGCCTACCTGGCTGTGCTTGAGATCAGAGTGTGGTGTGAGCGCCGGATGAACCCATCTCATCAACAAACAACACAATGCAAGCACAAACCCAAAAGAAACCCTTATGGATACGTTTGTTAGAATAGTAGCCTTAGGGTTTGGGGTAGCGTGAGCGAGAGAAACAGAAGAAGAGAGGGGTTTACACTAATGAGCAAGATACATGATATAGTTCAATGAAAGGTGAGCACATTGGTGCACCACCACTGTAGCTACACTAGAACACACAGCAAGCAGGGTATATAACAAAACTTAACACACCCCCTTAACCTGCTTGCCGTGATAACTAGTACAGGTACACGTGGCGCAGCGGAAGAGGGTAGAGAGGTTAGGAAGGAGGAGGAGGTGAGAGGAGAGGAGAGGAGAGGAGAGGAGAGGAGGGAAGAGAGAGAGGGATGAGGAGAGGTGGGGGGCCAGGAGCGGCGGACCCGCTTACGAACCTCCTTTTACAAAGGGGGTTGGGGAGGAGTGAGGGAAAAGGAGAGAAGGTGGGGGGCCAGGAGCGGCGGACCCTCTTAAGAACCTTCAGAAGGTGGGGGGCCAGGAGCGGCGGACCCTCTTAAGAACCTTCAGAACTCAACTCAACTCAACCACCCCCCTTTAACCTCACTCCATGAATCTGCCATCCCCCCAATGCTCACCCTCACACTCCAGTCAACTTCACTATCACCACCCCCTCACCTTCTGCACTTCTCTCCCCCCCCCCCCCCTTCTCTACGGCGACAATCCCTGCAGTAAGAGAGAGGGGAGGGACGGGCTGCAGGCAGCTCACACACGCCACCCACACATCTCCCCCTCCTCCCTGCCCACGACGGAAGCAGCGGAAGGGAGGGCGGGCGGGGGGGGGGGGGGGGGGGGGGGGGGGGGGGGGGGGGGGGGGGGGCGGGGCGGCGGTAGCTGCTGCTGGCGCTGGCGGTGGCGCTGGCTGGTGCGCAGGCGCGAGCGGCTGGCCGCGGTGCTGGCATCCGCGCTGACGGGCCACGCTCGCGCTGGCGCCTGCGGTCCGGGCTGGCGCGGGCGCTGGCGTCCATGCTGGTGCTGGCGCCCGCCGGCGCTGGCGTCCGCGGCGACGAAACGGGGGGCCCCGGCGCGTCGAAACGGGTGGCCGCGGGGCGACGAAACGGGGGGGGGCCGCGGGGCGACGAAACGGGGGGCCGCGGGGCGACGAATCGGGGGCCGCGGGGCGACGAAATGGGGGGCCGCGGGGGCGAGAGGCGACGAAACGGGGGGCCGCGGGGCGACGAATCGGGGGCCGCAATGAGCAGGGCACTACGAGCGCGACGAGCAAGGCGTAATGGGAGCGAACGGGAAGACAAAACGGGCACGGAGCGACGGATCTCGCCATTGCGCAGCTCGCCACCGTGTCGATCAGCAGCGACTCGAGGCGCCGCCATAACGAGCATAAAACTAGGCCTAGGAACGGCCTGCTCTGATTACCATGTTAGAATAGTAGCCTTAGGGTTTGGGGTAGCGTGAGCGAGAGAAACAGAAGAAGAGAGGGGTTTACACTAATGAGCAAGATACATGATATAGTTCAAGGGAAGGTGAGCACAGTGGTGCACCACCAAATAGTTAAGAACAATAACTGCAGTAACTACAGCACGCAGGATATATATTAAACATAACTTCGACAACGTTGCCTACATTACAATACACACAAAGCAAAGCCCACATAAATGTCAGAATGTGATGGTTGTCTAGCCTGCAGTGGGGTACTCTATAGCGAGTACAGCCCTTCTAGGGTTTGCATATATGTATCCCTATGCTTGTTAGTCAAAACCCTTCTTGCCTGTTTCTCGTTTTGGCCTAGCATTTTGACATGCTATCAGAGCGGGTCGACCCTCCTGGGTCGATCCTGTGGGTGGTCCCACCAGAAGCTTCCGCTGTTGTTTCCTGCTGTTTCCTGCCTGCCGCGCGCTCCGGTGTTAGAATCTAGCAGCAGGAATGGATGAACTAACAGGATGCAGGAGTACAAGTAGTAAACCCTAACTAGGTTGTACCCCATATGGGCTACCCCACTACAGCCTAGACAATATGCAGCACATATAGTTTGACACACCCCCATAGGCAAAGTGGGGGAGAACAAGGGGTCACACGACCAGTCAAGAGAAGCAAAACAAGCTCAGGGTGGATCACAACGTCACCACGCATTCTGAGCACAAGCAAAGGGCCACTGGGCCAGTTCACATGCAGAGATATATATGCAGCAATAACAGTACAGTGATGGCTACCTAGCAAGAGCTTGAATGCATATATATATATATATATGTACAGATCACAGTACAAGCAGAGACTACAGCAAGTGTGGAAACGTAGGCACAAGGCCTAACAGAGTACAAAAGCGCTGATGATCACCAGACGGAAGTGCCTTGGTGAATATGTCAGCAGTGTTGGCCCGAGTGGCCACGTGGCGAAGACGAAGCTGGCCTCGCTGCTGCAACTCTCGAGCCAGGAAGTACCGCAGAGCAATGTGCTTCGTTCTGTGCTCCAGTCTGTGCTCCTCACACAAGGCAATGGCGGCCTTGTTGTCAACGTACAGCACTGGAGGAGAACGAGGCTGCTCTCCCAAGTCAGTCAGCAGGTAGGTGAGCCAGCGTAACTCCTGTGCAGCCATGGCGGTGGCGTAGATCTCAGCCTCACAACTGGAGCCGAGAACTGAAGTCGAGCGTGTAGAACGCCACGAAACTGAACCAGAGCCAAGGCTGAAGGTGTAACCCTGTGACGACCGCTGAGTAGCCAGGTCGTCAACCCAAGAAGCGTCTGAGTGCCCAGTGAGGACAACTGGGCTCGTCCCTCCAAGCACTAGCCCCATGCCTGATGTGCTGCACAAGTAACGCAGTACCCTCTTAGCAGCAGCCATGTGCTCAGGTCGGTGCCGACCAGGAGCCACGTAGCGAGCCAGGAGACCAAGAGGGTACGCGAGGTCAGGTCGAGTGCAAGTCATCAGGTACATGAGGCAGCCGACTAGCTCTGGGTAAGGACCACTCGGCTCTACGGACTCGTCCGAAGGTGGAGCTGAGAGCGTGTGACCTGTAGCCAGAGGAGTGGCCTGTGCTGAAGACCAGGTGAAGCCGAAGCGCTGAAGGACCTGCTGCACCATGTGTGACTGAGTCAAGGTGATGGTGCGACGTGCTCTGTCTCGGGTGATCTGCAAGCCAAGGTAGCTGCGCAGCTCACCCAAGTCTGTGCACGTGTGTCTCTTCTGCAGCTCCGACTTCACGTGGGCGAGAGCCTCAGTGTCAGCAGTGGCAAAAACCAAGTCGTCGACATACACGAGGATGTAGAACGGCGGCAGGGAAGTGTCGGTGCGCAGAAACAACGACGGGTCAGCAGTAGAAGGCGCAAACCCAAGAGCCGCAAGCGTAGTCCTCAGTGTGTCGTGCCACTCACGTGGCGCCTGGCGGAGACCGTAGACCGGCCGCCGGAGGCTCCACTGGGTACCAGGAGGGAACGGCCCAGTGAAGCCCGGGGGGCGGCGCAGCCAGATCTCCTCGTGCAGGCTGCCCTGCAGGAAAGCTGTGCTGAAGTCAAGAGAGTGAAGCTCGTAGTCACGGTGAGCAGCAACGTGCAGCAGCACCCGAAGAGTGGCCATCTTCGGGGTGGGGGAGAAGGTCTGGAAGAAGTCAACTCCCTCTCGCTGACTGAAGCCTCGAGCCACGTAACGCGCCTTGAAGACAGGCGGAGAACCCGGCGGTCGCTTCACCCTGAAAATCCACATGCCACTGACGATGTTCGCCCCAGGTGGGGGAACCTCGTCAACGTAGGTGCCTGTGGACTTCCAGGAAGCCATCTCTGCGTCCATGGCTGCCTGCCACTGAGAGGAGTAGGGACCCTCTATCGCCTCTGCGTAAGAGCGCGGAGTCGGGATGTCTGGTGCATCCGGGTCTCCCTCAGGGGCAAGTAGCGAGGACACAAGATGAGGTAAAGCAGCAGCAAGGCAGTGGAACTCCTCCTGTCTGTCCTCAAGGACGTCCGTGCTAAGAGCACACTCACCCCCGACGGACGGAGGACAGACAGACTCAGACTCAGTAACAAGACTGGCAGTGAAGTCTAGACGACAGGCAGCAGCAAAGTCAACAAGCTCAGCGACAAGAGCAGACGCAGCAGCAGACTCAAACGACGGGTCAGTGACAACTGTGGCTAGTAGACGCGTGACAGTAGGGTGCTGAGCACGAAACCGGTCAGACGCAGGGTCCGGAACGTCAGGCAAAGAGGACGCAGGAGGAGACGGCAGAGGAACAGGCTGCGGAACAGAGGAAGGACGACGGACTACGAGGTGCGCGCTGGGGACAGCCGGCGGACGCGAACGAGGAACACGAGGACCGGTACGACCA